GTTGAGATTTCCTGCATTTAGGGGGTTGGACTAGATGTCCCTCGGGGTCCCTTCCAACTCTACCATTCTATGATTCAACATTTACTTGCAAGAGCAGACTATAATACTTTAGATCAGTGGTTCCCAATTATGTAGGACAGGGGTCTGCAACCTTTAAGACAAAAAGAGCCACTTGGACCCGTTTCCGAAGAAAAAAAAACTGGGAGCCGCAAAACTCGCCATTATAAAAATAACTTTTTTGTCACTTTTTTATTATTTCTTTGTTTGACCCCTCAGAATTACTCCTCCTCATAGAAATAAACGTTAAATTAACAAGTTACCTTTGTGTGTGTGTGTGTTCTTCACTCCCCTTCAAAACAGTGACCAGCGTACATGCCCCCTTTCAATGCAGTGACCAGCATACATGCCCCTTACAATGTAGCGGGCGGGTGGGCGGGAAGGTGACGTCGGGACGGTGCGTGACTAACGCACACACCGCCCCCATGTGACGTCACAGCCAGTACAGCGCCCGCCACAGTGGGGAGTGTCGGGGCCCAGAATGCGCCTCCTCCCCTCGCTAGTATCCGCCCCAGAGCCGCAGCAAAGGTGTAAAAGAGCCACATGCGGCTCCAGAGCCGCGGGTTGCGGACCCCTGATGTAGGACCTCCTATTTTTCAAAAGCCAAGCCATGGACCACCTACTTTTGAAAATTTTGATAGCTCTACGGTAGTTACCTCTGCAAAGCAATTTTTTGAACAAAACGTGGGGTAGCCCCTAACAAGCAAAGGATTTTAGGTATACTAAAAAATAAGAAAATCTGAATGATATCTGGTTTTCAACATTGTGGCATATCAGCAGCTAAACATCATGATATTCTGATATATCATGATGCCTGAAATTGGAGATCAGGAACAGGGGTGAAGGAAGGCTAACTGTCACCTGGTGCAGGGTGTTGGGGAAAACTGCCTGGTGGCGCATGCACGTGTGGCGTACGTACGGTGCACGTGCAGCACATGTGTCGCATGTAGTGCTGCCACCGGGCGGTTCGCTGATGGCACCACACGAATTTCTCCTGGTATGTCCCACGGAGGACCTTACGGTCTTCAAATAAAAACATCTTGGAGGTCCCAGGCCACAGAGAGGTTAGGCTGGCCTCAACCAGAGCCAGGGCTTTTTCGGCCGTGGCCCCGATCTGGTGGAACGCGCTGTCACAAGAGACTAGGGCCCTGCGGGACTTGACATCTTTCCTCAGGGCCTGCAAGACGGAGCTGTTCCGCCAGGCCTTTGGCCAAGTCACAGTCTGACCCCCTCCTTCTGTAATCCTCATAGCACTCTAGCCCAGTGGTTGCCATTCATTTGATTTTGAATTAATTTTAGAATGAATTGATTTCAGAATGTATTTCAATAAATTGATTGTGATTTTATGTAAACCGCGTTATTTTTACTGTTGTTAGCCACTCTGAGCCCGGCTTCGGCTGGGGAGGGCGGGATATAAATAAAAATTATTATTATTATTATTATTATTATTATTATTATTATTATTATTATTAAGGAGCAGCCACGAAGATCGGGTGTATAGGAGGAGGAAAGGAAGTGGAGTCACCTCCACCACATGGTTTTAGTGGGTGGCAGCCAGAGAAGATGCACGTCCACTGTGGCTGCTGCTGCTTTCCTGCTGAGAAAAGCTGCTCCACCCCAGTGCCAGGGGAAGGTAGTGCCATGGTGCCCTGAAGTGAGGGCGATCAGCTGCCCTGTTGTCCGTCAGGTCAGCGTGAGAGGAGGGCAGTGCCTCGCAACTGGCTGCCCTATTTTAGCATTCCCGTCAAAATAGGATAGGCGCCCATTATCGGTGCTTTCTGGAGACGTTTTTGTTCTGAATGGCTTTCCCAGACAGAGAAATGGGTCTTTATCTTGATAAGGCTACTTTGTATGGTTTTAGCTTCATCTGAAAAATATTTGCTGTTTATGAGTTTTAAACTCTCTTCAATTATCTTTAGCGTACATCGCCTTGAGATGATTGTTTAGAATGTGATTAATAAGTCAATGATATCTTTCTTTTTAATAATAATCATCAGGGTTTTTTTTCAGCTGAAACTCGCCGGAACTCATTTGTGGCACCTCTCAGGTGGGCGCCATTGGCATTCTAAGAGAACGAGGGAGGTGTTGATGGTAAGTTCTGGCACCTCTTTTTCTAGAAAAACTGAAATAATAATAATAATAATGATCGTGATGTAAGTCATGAGTCTACCCAACTCTTTAAAGTACTCGTAAATCCTGTGGAACAGCCTTTCCCAAACTGGTGCCCTTCCAGATGCTTCCAAAATAATTAAATAAATGCCCATTTTAAGAAGAAAACACAAACACAAACACAGAACTGAGCAACAGAAAATAAAGTATAGTCAGCCTAACTAACCTTTTATTCTGGTTTATTCTGGGCAATATTTTTAAGCCACAGACCTAAAAAACTGAGTTTACTGCACTGTAACAGTTGGGGAGTCCCACCAAAAACAAAGGACTTACTCCTGAAGACAGTGACCAAGAACACAATGTGGCAGCTTTAAACGATGCCCGATGGAAACTGACTTAAGTTCTTGTAAATGGCAAACCTTCTTTCTCAAAACATTCGCCACAAATTAGACACTTGCGCTCTGAAGACCTAAACTAATTGCCAACCAAACCTATACGCAAGATTACAATTTCACAAAAGGACTGTGGTGCGCAGTTTGATTTTTTTAACACTCAAAAAGCAACTGCAGAAGGCTGGAATCTTAAAGAGAGAAGTGGTGGGTGGGGTAATTTTCCAGCTACTTATCTCTCAGAGGAGGAAAAGGTATGGGAACCTGTATCCTTCCCTCTTTGGGAAGAAATAGAAGCTGGGTGGGATGTTGAGCAGAAAAAAAGAAGAACTGAGTAACTCTTCCCCATCCACTCATTGCCTGCTTAAGATTGCAGCCCCCTATAGCTAGTTTTCATTTAACAACAACAAAAACAACAACAGCCTGGCACCTCCGTTTGGTCCAAAACAAGGCAGTGAGAGATTTTACTTTCTTGGGCTCCATGATCACTGCAGATGGTGACAGCAGCCATGAAATTAAAAGACGCCTGCTTCTTGGGAGAAAAGTGATGACAAACCTAGACAGCATCTTAAAAAGCAGAGACATCACCTTGCCGACAAAGGTCCATATAGTTAAAGCTATGGTTTTCCCAGTAGTGATGTATGGAAGTGAGAGCTGGACCATCAAGAAGGCTGATCGCCGAAGAATTGATGCTTTTGAATTATGGTGCTGGAGGAGACTCTTGAGAGTCCCATGGACTGCAAGAAGATCAAGCCTATCCATTCTGAAGGAAATCAGCCCTGAGTGCTCACCAGAAGGACAGATACTGAAGCTGAGGCTCCAATACTTTGGCCACCTCATGAGAAGAGAAGACTCCCTATAAAAGACCCTGATGTTGGGAAAGATGGAGGGCACAAGGAGAAGGGGACGACAGAGGACGAGATGGTTGGACAGTGTTCTCAAAGCTACCAGCATGAGTTTGACCAAACTGCGGGAGGCAGTGGAAGACAGGAGTGCCTGGTGTGCTCTGGTCCATGTGGTCACGAAGAGTCGGACATGACTAAACAACTAAACAACAACAACAAGGCACCCGCCTAGGTGTTTTAGAGTTGCAGGAATAGTCCACGAGATAAAAATTTGACTCCTTTATGCTTGTCTAACATAGATCAATGTTTTCCATCAAGGCACAGGCTGCATTCAGATGGGGCGTTTATTGCATTTAGTTTTACTAGCTATAATGCTAGCACCTCTGCCCCAATTTCTAACTTTCCTTTTATACTGCAGTACCTGTTTGCTTTATGGAAGTGTGGCTTTCACCAGGGCATGTGAAATTTTGGACAGCAGGAAATAACCATTTGCCGGAATACCACCCCAAATTTTGTCACGCGAGTAGCGGGGGGCATCCTCATTAAAACCACAGAAAAGTTACAACTGAAAGCTCCTGCGATCTTCCAAGGTAACAGAGTTGTAGATGCTTCCCCACCCCTCTTTCTCGAAGTCGTTAACACAGAAGTGAGCCGTAAATTTAGATTCCGGAAGTGGCTTCCATAGTGTGTAAAAGATCACACAAAATGCAAAAAAATAATAATTGACAGAATAAAGTGCCATCTGATTGCCGCAACATAGCAGACAATGGAAAGAAACAGATAGTTAGCCGTGTTGGTCTGCCATAGTCAAAACAAAAAAAATTCCTTCCAGTAGCACCTTAAAGACCAACTAAGTTAGTTCTTGGTATGAGCTTTCGTGTGCATGCACACTGTGTATCTGAAGAAGTGTGCATGCACACGAAAGCTCATACCAAGAACTAACTTAGTTGGTCTTTAAGGTGCTACTGGAAGGAATTGTTTTTGTAATGAAAAGAAAGTGATGGGACTGCAGTGAACAAACTCGTCCTCCAGTCTTTTGCAGGAGAGCGATGTGGATATGCAAGAACGCCGAAAGACAAATACCAATTTCTGTAATTAATACAGGAAGGACGTTATGCGCCTGCAGCATACTTATTGCATGTGCTTCGTTCTAAGGACAAGCTTGCTATTTTCCTGCTATAAATGCTGAAGGTAAATGGCTCAGGACCGCAATACCTCAAGGACCGCCTCCCAGACCCAGCGATAATCATGTGGCCCTCCTTTGTGTGCCCAAGGTCTGGAGGGTGGCAACACGAGAACAGGCCTTCATTATACGCCTTTAGGTGCCAGGCAAAAATGTTCCTCTTCAACCAGGCCTTTGGCTGATTGACACCTGTTGCCCTTTTAGATGTGTTGTGGGAGGGGAGATTATTGGCTTGTTTTCATTCTTATTCTGATTATGCAATCTGTGTTCTTTATATTATGTTGTGAACTGCCCTGAGATCTACGAATGAAGGGCGGGATACAAATTGAAAAAATAATGATGACAGCAAGGGTTCAAAGGAAGAGGAGAAAACAAGGCGCTGTTCAGAGAAAGGGAAAAATAAGCAGAGGTACTCACATAGCCCACTGTAGCTTTTCATTCTTGATGGAGCTATACAAAGCCTGCGGAGAGAAAAAGAAGTATAAGCGTCGTCAGAATTTTAACCGAGTAATTACAAAGAGAAAAATGAGTGGAGTTCAACCAGGCGCCAGGGACAGTGCTCCCTCAGAACCAACTGTTATGTACTGAAGTTCTCCCCCTGGGCCAGCAGGGGGGGATACTGTAGATAGTGGTCCACATATGCAAATAAGGGATTGAAAGTGACATTCAGTGATGGGATAGTTACAGAAAATGGTTACTGTTGCGTTCTAGTGGAGCTCTATATAAGCAGGCTGGCTGAACCCTTCAGTTCAGTTCTGTTCTGGCCTGTGAATAAACAAGAGCTGTTTGAAGAACTGCTGTGTTGTCTGATATGTTCACCCACAACTTAACACCAACATTTCTGCTTCCAATCCAGACAGAGCAAATTCCTCTCTCCCCCCTCTCTGCGCACTGTTTTGGGGGTCCTCGGACCCTTCCAAGGGGATTGTGGGAGGTTCCCAGCTTCACTAGCAGGGCTTTTTGTGCTTGCTTCCACTGGTGCAACAGCTCGGCCCAGTGTTCTTAAGATGCATATATCATTCATGTTTAGAGTAACGATAAGAGGCAACTCAGCATTTAATCCTAAGGAGTGGATGCAGCCCAGTTTGAGATGTCAAGGACCACAACGCTAGCCCAGTTCGTATGCATGGGAGTGAAAATTGTTCAGAATGTGCAACACGGTGATAAGAAGGGATTAGATAAAAGGGAGCTGAAGTGGGGGAGGGGGGGAATCAGGAAGGTCAACTCCCTCCAGGAAGACCAGAGGTTATTTTTTTTTTAAAAAAACTAATCACAGAAGCTCAGATAAAAGATACGCAATCCAAAATGATGCCACAGATGAGTAGCAGAGGCAAACAAGCTATGGGAGCCAGAAAGGCAGTTTCCAGGCGTTAGAAGTGCTGAAAATTTCTCCTCCACGATCAGTGGGAATTGAATTTGTAGCTTTAGTGTCACAATCCTGCACGTGCTTACGTGAAAGTAAGCTTCGCTGAAAACATAGACTTTCCTCCAGGGCAGGGCCGTTTTACCCATAGGCGCTAGGGGTGCGGGGCACCCGGGCGCCGGGCTCTCAGGGGCGCCAGGCCGAGAGTCCAGGGACCGAGAGTTGAGTCTGGGGTCAGACAAAATGAATGGACTATGCAGAATTGGACAAAATGACAGGAAGGATTTGAAACCTGCGGGACCAGAGATTTAAAGAAGATTGGAAGAAGCATATGAATTATTTGAAGAGCAACTGCAATCAACAAATTACGCTAGTAGGACTACAAGAAGTTTTGTAAGGAGAAATATACGAAGTGTTACAAAGTAGAAAAAGATAGAGATATCGGTAATGAGTTTGAAATGTAATTGGGAAGATAAGAAATGAATACAGTGGTGCCCCGCAAGACGAATGCCTCGCAAGACGAAAAACCTGCTAGACGAAAGGGTATTCCGTTTTTCGATGCACTTCGCAAGACGATTTTCCCTATGGGCTTGCTTCGCAAGACGGAAACGTCTTGCGAGTCTTGCAATTTTTTTCGCTCCCCCCCCTTTTCTAAGCCGCTAAGCCGCTAATAGCCTTTTAGCCGCTAAGCCTTTAATAGCCACTAAGCCGCTAATAGCGCTAATCCGCTAATAGGGTTGCTTCGCAAGACGAAAAAAACGCTAGACGAAGAGACTCGCGGAAGGGATTATTTTCGTCTTGCGAGGCACCACTGTACTGAGAGTTAGATTGGAAAATTTTCAGACAGGATTGATGGTAGTCAAAAATTTGAATAAGATGTAAAAGTATGTTTAATTACTGTTGAAAATGATATGTTAAAAAAAAACCTAATAATTTTTTTTTTTTATAAAAAAAGAGAGTTGACTCTGGGGTCTCAATCTCTGTCGGTCAGAGCACTGTGCCAGGCACTTCTGCTGCAGGCAGCTCTGTGCCATGAGTCTGGGGGCGACCAAGCCAGCGAGACTCTGAGGCAGCCGGCCAGCTCCGCCATCCTGCGCACCTGGGCCTGGGCAACCGTTGGGGGGCGCCGTGTGGATCTTTGCACCCAGGCGCTGCATATGCTTAAGACAGCCCTGCTCCAGGGTCCTTGTACATACAATTGCGCTGCTAATTATAGTGTTTACCCTCATTAACAGGGAAGAAGAAGAAGAGGAGGAGTTTGGATTTGATATCCTGCTTTATCACTACCCGAAGGAGTCTCAAAGCGGCTAACATTCTCCTTTCCCTTCCTCCCCCACAACAAACACTCTGTGAGGTGAGTGGGGCTGAGAGACTTCAAAGAAGTGTGACTGGCCCAAGGTCACCCAGCAGCTGCATGTGGAGGAGCGGGGAATCGAACCCCGTTCCCCAGATTACGAGTCTACCGCTCTTAACCACTACACTATACTGGGAGATTGCAGGCTTACAGAGAGATCTCAATAATGTTTACTCTGATTATAGAAGTCACAAATTTAATAAAAAAAGATCTGTATATCATCAGCATATTGCTAACAATGCACCCCAGAAACCTACTTTATCATATACAGGAAAAACGGTAGATCTGTTCTATGTGGGCTCACCAAAGCACTGGAGGGAATAGTTATGGGACTCAAAGTGATGGTCCCCAGCGCCATTTAGGGGGCTGGATCTAGTCCTCGGGTCAGCTGGCAGGTCTGTGGGTTGGATTGATTCTCCCGATGCATCTGCTTCGAAACCCCAACGACCCTGCCAAATGCCAAACTACAAGTGATGAAAATATTTCCTCGGCTTCATTTAAAGGGGAACAAAAATGTTTCCAAAGGTTACAAAAGAGAGCCCACATTTTTTCATTGTTAATACCCAGGGCAGTGGATGTATTAGACCAGGCATCCCCGGCCTGCGGCCCTCCAGATGTTTTGGCCTACAACTCCCATGATCCCTAGCTAACAGGACCAGTGGTCAGGGATGATGGGAATTGTAGTCCAAAACATCTGGAGGGCCGAAGGTTGGGGGTGCCTGTATCAGACTGATATCTGAAGCTCAATTCAGGTAAGGCTGGAGTTCTGTCGGTGCGTGGGGTCCTAAGCTGGACAGATGAGGCATGGCCTCTTCTCCTTGGATTACAGTGGTGCCCCGCAAGACGGAAAACTCGCTAGACAAAAGAGTTTTCCGTTTTGGAGGTGCTTCGCAAAACGAATTTCCTATGGGCTTGCTTCGCAAGACGACAATGTCTTGCGAGTTCCTGCTGGTTTTTTCCCTCCCCCCCTTTTCTAAGCTGCTAAGCCGCTTATCAGCTGATCTGATCAGCAGATAAGCCGCTAAAAGCCGCTAATAGCGCTAATCCGCTAATCCGTCAATGGGCTTGCTTCGCAAGACGAAAAAACCGCTAGACGAAGAGAATCACAGAACGGATTCTTTTCGTCTTGCGAGGCACCACTGTACATCCCCTCTGAAGGTGCAGGTACATAGCTTGGGGGCACGTCTGGAGCCACTACTGTCGCTTGAGGCTTATGTGGTAGCATGAAGGGCCTTCCATCAGCTTGGGCTGGTGGCCAAGCTATGTCCCTATCTGGACAGGGATATCCTTACTTTTCTTGTCTACGGAAATGCGTTATAGGTGGGGCTACCTTTGAAGACAGTTCAGAAACTGTGGCTGTGCCCCATCTGAGAGAGGTCCAGAGCATGGGTAGGCAAAATAAGGCCCGGGGGCCGCATCCAGCCTAATCACCTTCTAAATCCGGTCCGTGAATCAGCGTGTTTTTACATGAGTAGCATGTCTCCTTTTATTTAAAATGCATCTCTGGTTTTTTTGTGGGGCATAGGAATTCGTTCCTTTCCCCCCAAAAATAAAGTCCGCTCCCCCCCACATGGTCTGAGGGACAGTGGACCAGCCCCCTGCTGAAAAAGTTTGCTGACCCCTGGTCCAGAGGGTGGCAACAGTCCTTCTCTGTGGTGGCTCCTCATTTATGGAATGCTCTCCCCAGGGCAGCACACCTGGCACCATCACTGCCTTATTTTAGGTGCCAGGCAAAAATGTTGTTATTCCCCCAGGGCTTTGGACCTTAACTTCCTACCTGTCTTTGAGTGGGGTGGAGCCGGATCTGTTTTCTATATATAGTACTTGTGTATTTTAGGATATCCATACTTATTCAGAGATATACAAAAAAGGCATGCCCATTACAAAGTATCTTTTTTATAATATGCTGATGTAAAACAGCTACTTAGTCTAAAAAAAATTTCGTATTTTTCGCCCTATAGGACGCACCGTCCCATAAGGCGCACCTAGTTTTTTTGGGGGGAAATAAAGGGGAAAATATATTTCCCCCCCAGGCTTCCTCCGACCCCAGCCCCCAAACAGGCAGCTCTCTGCAAGCCGTGGGAGCCCAGCGCTGGCTCCCGCTGCTTGCGGAGAGGTCTGCGAAGCCTGGACACGCTGATCTCAGCACGCGCAGGCTTCGGCATGCCAGCAACTCTCTGCAAGCAGCGGGAGCGCTCCCGCTGCTTGCGGGGAGGTCCGCGAAGCCTGGACGCGCTGATCTCAGTGCGTGCAGGCTTCGGCATGCCGGCAACTCTCCGCAAGCAGCGGGAGCGCTCCCGCTGCTTGCGGGGAGGTCCGCGAAGCCTGGACGCGCTGATCTCAGTGCGTGCAGGCTTCGGCATGCCGGCAACTCTCCGCAAGCAGCGGGAGCGCTCCCGCTGCTTGTGGAGAGGTCCTCGAAGCCTGGAGAGCGAGAGGGGTTGGTGCGCACCGACCCCTCTCGCTCTCCAGGCTTCAGCGAAAGCCTGCATTCGCCCCATAGGACGCACACACATTTCCCCTTCATTTTTGGAGGGGGAAAAGTGCGTCCTATAGGGCGAAAAATACGGTATAACAAAAGCAGAAAGGAGAAAAGATAAGAAAAAAAACCTAAAGAAAGAGAAAGTGAGAGAAAGAGAGAATAAAGAAGAATAAAGATACAGCATTCACTCTGTAGGATCCAACCATTCTTTCTATAAACCAGTAATTTTCCCCATCTTCAAATCCAGCTACTACAAGTTCAT